ACAGAAGCTGTAAGAATCTAAGGGGGGCTGCATGGATACAAGTCCCGGTCCTGGATTAAAGGTTTTTTTTTATGAGGAGCATTTTCTGCGTTGAACTCTGGTCTGTGATTTGTCTTTATCTAATGCAAATATTTTTTCCCCCTAATACCCTGAAGTGACTGGCTGATTTGTAGTCTTGCATTTCCTTTTTAATAATGTCAAACAGGTCTATATGTATCCCTTAATGGATAAGAGGGTGCTTTTGTTTTTTTATATAAAAAAACCCTATATAATTAAAAACATGGAACTATACAAACCACACCTAATGAAAAGGAAGTTCACAACAATGAAAGTCTGTCACATTATAGCAGGGAACAGCGCCCCCTGCTGTGTCAACAACCTCCAAACCAAACCCAAAGCGACGAAAAAACCAGGAAGTGATTCAAATCTTACTTCTCTCTACACTGTCATTCAATCTACCCAGGTGGAAGACAACTGCGTATTGGAAGTGTGGTCAGTGCTCTTTTGGTTTACTTGGCCGCAGTGAAGCCCCTTGCAGCCGCCCTGCCTCGGTTGTTCACTCATCTGTCTCAGGGTTTGGATTTACCTGGATCTGGCAGCAGGGAGTGCTGCAAGTTGAACTTTGCTAATACTTATTTGCCAGATTGTGTTCAAAGGTTCTCCCGGCGTCGCCGCGGACGTTTAGTGTTGCAACACCGCTTGCAAGGTGCGCATCAGTGAGTAGATGTTTGTCTTAAAAATGCTGCTTTGAGTGTGTTCCTCCTTTCAGCCGTTCACTTTCTTTATGTCTTCCAGATGGCTTCTGCTTGGCAAAGTGTCGTATCTTTACACCAGAGGATGGTGGACTATGGAGGTATGATGATGACAGCTCCCCCACACACATATATAGTTCATGTCAGTTCATGTCAGTTCCTGCGAGTTGTAGAAGAGATTCCCCGTCTGGAGAACAAGCCTATACATGTGTGTTCAGCGTGTGGGAGCTGGGAGCTGCAGATGTGCTCCCCCTTTCACAATGACCTCTTTGTGGTTGTCACATGATTTGCCACCAAGCCATTATTTAAATGACATTATCTTGTAACAGTGGTGGAAATACCGGAGCAGGAGGAAGAGGAACCTTTTGATTATCAGAGAAGAACTGCCATTTTACTTTGTGTAGGCCCTAATGTAATAAATATGTTATGCTTTTCGAATCAGGAGCTGGTTTAAACTGCACACATTAACAGGTCATCTGAGCTGAACTGGAACAAGGAAAACTGTAAAAACCTGGCAGAGACTGAATCCAAAAGCATCTGTAATAAGTGCTGGAAGTTTGGGGGGAATCAGGGCAGTTCTTAAAACTTGTAATAAAAGCCACAGATGTGCCCTGTAATGTATTTGTTCATTTGTAATTAATGTCTAAAAGGCCCTGACGCAAAGCCCTCTCATGTTTCAGACAAGAGGACGGACCCGTGGCTGCTGGTCTACTCCCCCATCCCGGTGTCGATCATCTTCCTGCTTTACCTCTGTGTGGTCTGGTTCGGCCCCCGCCTGATGAAAAACAGACAACCTGTTGACCTGAAAGCCGTTCTCATTGTTTACAACTTTGCCATGGTCTGCCTGTCTGCCTACATGTTCTACGAGGTGCGTTTGTGCTGCTTTCTGTCCTGCATTAACAAGCAAAACCAAATCAATCAAGAGCAACAGTCATGATGGAAATATTCCGTATCAATTTCCAGGTGTGAATATGTCTAAAATGTCTTTTTTTTAATTTTCTCATAGCTGCTGCTTCCTCTTAGAAATGTATGTTGATGTTGGTGGTGTGTTGTTTCATTAAGTAATTGTTTGAATATTTACCAGTTCCTGGTCACATCCAGGCTGTCAAACTACAGCTTCTCCTGTGAGCCTGTAGATTACAGCAACAGCCCGCTGGCAATGAGGGTAAGCAAGTGTTTTACTTGATTAATTTAGACACTGTGTGTGCACATTTAGAACATAATGCACAGGAAAATAATACTACAGTGTAGCCGACAGTGCAAGTGGTAAGATAAAACATACAGTTATTTAAATGAATAATGTGTAAAACCCACCTTTCTCCATTATTTTCTTCTTCCAGATGGCCAGTGTCTGCTGGTGGTTTTTCTTCTCCAAGGTCATAGAGCTCAGTGACACGGTACATGTTTGTTACAACATTTGCAGTTTCAGTGAAAGAAGAGGTGTAAGAATGCCAAGTTGAAAACTGTAACAGTTTAATCTGCTCCTCTCTATGAGCAGATCTTTTTCATCCTGAGGAAGAAGAGCAGTCAGGTGACCTTCCTTCATGTCTACCACCACGGCACCATGATCTTTAACTGGTGGGCAGGAGTCAAGTATGTGGCCGGCGGAGACTGTAAGTAAACTATTTGTGAAGTTTTTGTGAGCTAGTGCTGTGATGATGCTGATAGAAAAAACAGATAGGAGCACGAGGTTGTGCATGGAGGATAAATCTGGTGATTTTTCATGTTGCTAACAAATCCAGGGCTGTAAACGGTGGGGACTCCTTTTCATTATTATTGTTACGACGTCAAACACAGGTCTAACGGCCAAAGCGCGAATATTGGAGGTTGTGGCTAGAACTGACACTTGTTTTGTCAAGACTGTGAGTTTGTGAGGCATCTCGAAGCTCACGTCAGCTGTTTAATTCTGTCACCAGAGTGTAGACCCCGCTCTGTACCAGCTTCACTTCGCTGTTCACCATTTAAATATTTGAATGTCAGTGCGTTCTCGTTAAATGCGTTCAAGGTTCACTGTTTCTTTGGAAAATAATGTCAATTGGAGCCAAATTTTGTGTACATAATAAAAATACCCAAAATTTATACATTACATTTAAGCTGACGCCTTTGTCCAAAGCAACTTACAATTGCTATATGTCAGAGGTCGCACGCTTCTGGCGCAACTAGGGTTAAGTGTCTTGTACATGACACATTAGTGGACATGTTACAGTGGGGGATTGAACCCGGGTCTCTCACACCAAAGGCATGTATTTTATCCACTGCTCCATCACCACCCCTTCAATTCATCATTGATAGTTACTGATTATTGTATCAATGCACAGTCATGGACTGCTGCTGGCTCACCAGGGCCCCAAATGTGTATTAATCCACAGCTGAAAATGGTCCCCAACAAATACACTATTTTATCCTGTTTGAGTAAGATTTTCTAAAAACTTCAGTGCCCAGCTGCTGAAATGAATTTGTATTTTTTAACGAAACTATATTTATGAGATGTTTTTAAATGTCTTCAGTAGGAATGAATGGAAAATGAATTAAGTACCATAGACAGGTTAGTTTTGGTCTTTTATAATAAAACTATAAATTAACAATAACTATAGAATGAAACCTTTAACTGTAGGATTTGTCTACTCCCTAAAAAAAAAACGCAGAAGTGAAACTGGTTTACAGTAGGTTTTCACATAGAACGAATCTGTTTTGGTATTTTGGTGCATAATGAAAAACAAGTATATTTTAATGTATATTTCGGAGATGTTTTTAAAAATGTATGTCTTCGGTAGGAACAAATGGACTTTGAATTTGTGCCACATACAGAAAAGTTAGCTATAGAATTATACCTTTAACTATAGGATTTGTACACTCCCTATGGAAACGCCCTTCAGCGAGACTTGGGTTTGATTATAATCAGACGCTAAACAGGTTTATAGTAGGTAAGTCAATTCATTCATCTTTAAACACGACGGATTTCATTCCAAAGATAGCAGACATTCAGTTGTGTCCCCAGGATCACCAGATAGTGACGTATTAGAAACAACCTCTAATGAGTTACAGGCGTGTTTGTGTGAGGGTAAGATGATGTTTAAATTGAACAAATAACCCAAAAGCACACAAAAGAGACCAATTGTTTCAACTAAACAGCTAGCTGGCTGGATGTTGGTTGTAAAAATGGATAAAAAGAACCTCCTTAAGTTCATTACTTCATATTCTACATCATGTTAGTGTTCAGATGCTCTCTGGTGCATCGCATAGATGTTGTTTCAGCCCCTGAAACTAAACTGTAATATTAACAAAACATCTGATTGTGTCATTCTACTGTGTGTCTGCTGCATCACACTCTATATTATTCAAAGTTAAAACTTGTAGGCTACCACACTCACTGCATTTTTTAATTTAAATGACTTAAATTGATTTTGAGAACATTCAAAAGGCCTGAATGTTCCTCTGTTTGTATCACATCCTTGCAGCGTACTTCGTCGGCATGATCAACAGCTTCGTACACGTTGTGATGTATTTTTACTACGGCCTGGCTGCCATCGGCCCTCACATGCAGAAGTACCTGTGGTGGAAGCGATACCTCACGTCCCTGCAACTGGTGAGAGGCCCCTGCTCTGAATGAAAAAGGATTGTGAATGTGCATACAAGGTGTTTGTGAACGAAGCTGATCTGAACCTTTTCCCCCCGACTGCCCCTCCAGCTGCAGTTCCTGCTGTTCCTGATACACACGGGCTACAACCTGCTCACAGAGTGCGACTTCCCCAAGTCCATGAACTTGTTTGTGTTTACGTACTGCTTCACCCTCATCATCCTCTTCAGTAACTTCTATCATCAGAGCTACCTCAACAAGAAGAAGCAGATATGAGACAGTTTCCTGTAACTGCAGTGCTTGCCAGCGTCCACAAGAGGGAGCAACATGCTCACAGCTCGGAGGTTTTTCTTATGGTGCTCATTATTAACTGCAGGTTTAGCTCTACAGTCTAATACTAACCTTTACAGACATGTACAACTAATGTGAACGATTTTAGTACTTTCTGCGGTTTTTTGGAGCATCAAATACATATCAGAAAACAGATACTGTGTGATCATTCAGTTATTTATTTCTTAAATTGAGAAATGACAAACATTCAAACGATTGCTGTAAACAAACTGTACATTTTTTACATATTAATAAGTAGGTTGGTTTTTTTCTGCATTATCGCAGAGTTACTGAGTTCAAACCCTCCTCCAGAGATAAATCCAAAAGGCAAAAAACCCCACTTAACAACAAAATACAGAAATGCAAACATTTTTTTCCCCCACTGTTAAAACAACACGGCAACGTGATATATTCTTTTCTACACTTCAGTCAAAATAGATTGAATGATGTAGATTAGAGAGAGAAAGCACGACGAGGAGGGAGAGGACATTTCATTTCTATTCAGGAGTTTTGTAGTGTTTGATGTTTGTGTATCAGAATCTGCTTTATTGGCCAACTATGTGTACACATCCAAGGAGTTCGACTCCAGTTTTAAGTTGCTCTGGGTGTAATTACACGCAGTTCAAAGAACAATTTTCAGTAAGATAGAAATATTGAAGCTAAAAACATTGTGTGAGCTTGATCTGATTGTACTGTTGAGCGTCTTAGGACCAGTGTCACCAAGTCAGATTTTTTTGTACATGATGAGTGCTTGGCCAATAAATGTAATTCTGAACCTAAGAAATGAAGAGCATGGCTATTTGAACGGCGAAAAAAAATCTGATTTCCTCAGCTTTCTTTTTCTTTACTGATAAGAAAGGGTCATTTATTTGACTTGAGTCATTCCTTTATTTAATGTGAGTAGTTATCGGAAAGCTCCCACAGGCTCCCATAGGAGACAACATACAACTGTTTTCACAGGCTGAGTACTGCTCCTCTTGACAATTAAACTGAGCTTCATGTGTATAATCAGCTGAGCAACCCTTTAACAGCATATAAACGCAGACAATACCTCAAATCTTTGCCTATTTTCTAAAGGATAATTTTTAAGACAAGGGGGTAGAAAATCAATTGGTAACATCTGGAAAACATGCAACCAGTGACGTGACATTGTTGTTTTAATTAGTCACAAGCAAAACAGTTTGGGAACCACTATTCTTCTTACCTATTCGGATTATTAGTGCCGTTTACATCTTGACCATTCATATAGTTCCAGGTAAACAGTTAATCACACGGCAGTATACTAAACTGACTTCCAAACGTCTTTATGTCTGTTTCATCTGGCAGTTATGCAGGTCAGAAGAAGCTATAAATTACTCTGATTTAATGTGTGACCCATATCTTGCATAAAACAAAGAACCAGAAACAGGAGCTGGGGAAGAGGTGATCCAGGTGTGTTAAGACGGCTGTGGAAGGACTGCAGAGTAGGTGTGGTGAAGCGTGCCCGGCTCCAGTGTTGCTCTATGTCTCTGTGTAGACGGAGGACATGTGGCTCAGGCTACGGTCAAAGCTGCCCACCTGGAAGAAAATGCTCTCCTCTGGGCTGGAAGAGAACTGGCACCCTGCGCCGCCTTGCAGCTCCTGGGTCATGCTGAAGCCTGGGACAGACGAGATCAAGTGCAGTTTGTTTAACACTTTGGTGAAATCAATCAGGTGATCTGCTGATGGCATTCAGGCTCTAGGTAAAATGTCCTCACCTGCCGTGCCTGTGTTGCTTGTCGACATGTGGAAGCCATTCTGTTGATGGGAAGTGTAGGAGTGAGAATCTCCCGGGACATGGACGCCTCCGACCGTCTGCTCCATCCTGTAGGAGTCTCCAAAATGGAAGCAGCTCTGAAAGCTGCCTTGGTATTCTAGGAAATGAGGGGATGATGTAAAGGAGCAGGGAGGAGGAAGAGAGGAGAAAAATAGAAGCCAGACTTGAGCGACTTCCACCATGTGTCTATGGGCAATTGTTTCTAAGGTCAGTAAGTGCCCGATCCATCCGGCTGAAACCTGATGTGGATCTCAAATTATGACAATGCTATATTTGTGCTTGTGCTAACTGTGCCAGCCCCATAGTATGTAACATTTGTCCCCATCATCTCAGTTTGTACTCAGAATGGACCGCAGGAGTCACGATAATGGGAGAGCAGCCTTTCCTGGAGCGCTTTTTACGCAACTCCCTGACCACAGCGCGGTTAGAGAGACGTCCATGTGTAGATCTTTACAGGGAAAACAGTGTTTAAGGCATTAGGAAAACGGCTCGGGAGTGACAGCTGAGCCTGTCATGTTAAGGCGCTGAGAGACAGCTGAATACATGAGCCAGCATTTTGTTGGCTAATTCAGCGCAGGGAAAAGGCTTCCGGCGTGTGGTTTTCCCCACTCTGTCTCTATGACTCTAATCTCTCCCCGTCCTAAAAATGCTCTGACAGAGCCACAGGGCAGTATCGCTGCTCTAAAAGACAACTTCCTCTGTTTGAGGCCTTTCATGTGAGTCTCCTGTTACAGTAAGCATTTTAAAAAAGGACACAAGGGTGTTCTTATGTATATTCAAGTGATCTGACACTGTGAAATCTCTCATAGGAAGTCCTTTAAAAGTAATCCTCGGGCTACATGTTACTGATTGAACTGGAACAGGAAAAATTGTAGGATATTAAATTGAAATGCCAATCAACAATTTCAAAACATATTTCCTGAAACAAGTTAAGTTACATTCAGCCAGATATCCTTGGGTCAAGTCTTACCGTCGTTGGCAGACTGATGCTGGTGATAGTGAGAGTAGGGCTTGTGGTGAGGGTGGACATGCTGTTTCTCCAGAGGAGGAGGAGGAGGAGGAGGAGGAGTCCCTGTTCCCTTTATCCCCGGAGACAGGAGGGGATCCGACACCCTGGAGGAGACACAGAAAAAGTAGGTGAAATGTTCATTCTAAACCTCTCGATCTATCATTCATCCCTTTCCAGATGGTCTCAATAATTTCTTTATAGAATGCTTCATGCATTGTGATATCCCAATTCGAAGACACGGCTACACGCCGGCCCGCTAACGACTTGTTCCGGCAAACCCAGTGGAGCTGTTAGTAATCCTAAACACACAGAAGAAGAGACATTCCAGGCGTGTGGAAACTTAGGCTCCCCACACGTAATTGTCGTCCTACCACATATTATGATCTTAAGTCAACAAACAGCAGAGCGTGCATTCAAGTGAAACACCCCCGCGCCCCTGTACACACTGCCCACCACTGCAGTAACCCCAGCCTTTATGGCCTTAAGAGAAGAAAGCACAATAGTGTTTACATTCATGACTTCTGAGAAAAAGAAATATTAAGATGACATGTTTGTAACTTTGTGGACTCTTAAGTGCCTGGAGAACAGCTGACGTTTCCACATCGGCTTATTTTTGTGGATGCTGATCACTTAAACAACGGTCTGATACAGCAGTCTCAAATCACACTTAGGGACAAAATCTCAACCTAATCAATTTAAATGAAGCATACTGGCAAGCTTTCTTTGTGTGCGCTGGGAATACCACAATCTGGAGATCAAATGGTGAAATATTACGATCATTCCAGCTGACTGTAACTCCGCCATTTAGCGTCACAGTTCATCCTCGAAAACCTTCAGAATGAAATGAAACCTCTGCAGCACGCTTCAGTGAGTTTGTACAGAAGCTGTCAGCAGCATCTGAGACCAGGTTCTGTACAAAACCGTATTGTCTAACAGGAGAAGTATGCTGTTATCATGGTGGTTGATGGCTGTAAAGTGTGCACATAAAGGGATTTCTAAATATTTGGAGAATTACATTGTACATTTTAAGGGGGATCCTACAGCAAAATCATCACAGTTGTAGAAACAGCAGCAGAAATGTAAAACCTCTTTCAGACATGCCTCACATTACATAAATGTGATGGCAATTTTTCATGTCGTGTCTAAATAAGCCCTTAACATGGAACAAGTCTGAACTGAATCACTATAAAGGAATAGTTTGACATTTTCAGAAAAACTCTTTGTTTTCTTGCCAAGGGTTAAATTGATACCACTCTCATGTCTGTACAATCAATGTGAAGCTAGAGCAAGGAAATGGTAAAAATCCACCTACCAGCATCTCTAAAGCTCATGAACCAATATGTTATCTGTTTACTTAATCCACAAAAACTACAAGCAGGTTGTACGTAGTAAACATATATGACGAGCCAATTAGTGAGGTGGGGTGGTGCTAGTAGGTGGATTTTGTTAGAGCCAGGGTAACTGTTTCCCCAGTTTCCAGTCATCATGCAAAGAGAGATATTTAATGGGTGTCTTGTTTCGCCTTCATAAGATCACTTTAATAACTTTACTCAGGAGCAGCAAGAACCATGTCTGGTATTTATTCAGACACTTAAAAGTTAAAGTTAACAAGAAACTCAAAATGACCACTAATTTAACGGCTTAATGCTGTACACTTGACATTAACTTAATGGAACAGCAATCAGGTCCAAATCCAGACTGATAGCCAACAGACCTGCCTTTAACACAGAGCTGGCCAATCACCCACCCCCAAATATTCAACAGCTACTTAGTACCCTCTCATGACTGCATATCAGGAATGCCAACACATAAACTGCTGCTGTGTTACTATTTGCCGCTGTGCTCTGGAAGCATATGGTTTGCGCTAAGCGCTATATGAATGTGATGACAGAGTGCTGCTGGAGGCAGCCGAGCCCTCAGATGACTGCTCACCGCTGGCCTGGCTGGAGCCTGCTATATGACCTGCTGCTCCCGCCCAGCACTCAGTTGCTGGCAGTGGCATTGTGCAGGGCATTTGGCAGAGAAAGTGGCTGATGAAGGGAGATGGTAAACGATGTCCAAGAAGCTGCGACGCATTCCTGCCAAAGCTGAATTTATTTTACATTTTCCTTAGCTGCCTTGAGCCAAATGAACATAGGATTAGATGTGAGTAGTCATCTGAATCTGGAATTTCCATTATACCAACAACCAGTGGTGGAAAGTACATTTTTGAGGTACTTTACTTGAATACTTCAATTTTATGTAACTTTATACTTGGTAAACATTGTACCTTTTACTCCATTAAGCTTATAAAATCCAATGTATTCTTAAAGATTACACTACCCAACTTTATATAAAGTACTTAAATTAGCTCCACCTCAAACAGCTACACCAGTAATAATCCACTATTAAATAATATTACATATTATTACATTACATTTTATAAAAATATTACACAGAGAGTGGCTATTTTGCCACCTAATAAAGACTTTTACTTTTTATATTAAAAGCACATTTTGCTGCTAATACTTTTTACTACAAGTAAAAGTATGGACTAAGCAACACTGAACATTTACTCATAATGGAGTATTTTTATTGTATGGCAGGATCTACAGATGCCCTATACCTCTTTTAACAACTTGAAAACAAATCTCATGCAGGATTAGCAAACAAAAAACAACTTAAAATTTAGGTGACTGGATTAAATGTTTCTGGGAGTAACAGGTGGTTAAAGAATTGTTCTATACTGGAGGTTTTCTCTCGGAGTGCCTTCTACTCATCAACATGTTCATTTGGGTATCGATTTCAAGTGCTTAGCTGTACATGGACTGCACTTGACCTCCGTGTCTACCTCCTGCTAAATTGAGGAAGCTTGTGTGGCACCTTGTGTTAGTCCAGCTCTGGAGACGCTAGCTGTTAGCGAGCGTGGCAAATCCACGGGTTGGCACAGGCCCAGCGCGTGGCCATGTGTTCCTGCAGAGAGCAGCATTCCCCCAGGAGCTGCTGTCAGCACAAACTCAGGAAACAGTTATACTGTTCATATTTTTACAAGCTGCCTCTATGTGCAGCTAAAGTGAATCATAAGCTAATCACTGCCAGCTGAACCCCAGCCCTGCTCTCGCTAGTCTCTAGCTTGCTAGCTACTCAGGCTCGAGGTATGAGGGGAATCTTTCATATGCCATATTAATCTCTTTCCTGATATTCATCTTCACTGACCATTCTGCACTACTCCGCTTTTTCCAGACAGCCCACCCACTCCTGTCCTGCTGCAGTGAGTGATTTGACCGCTGACCTGTTGATTCCTGAAGGTTGAGTTGGATGGGATTTTAAGGATTAATGGACTATATTTAATAAATAGTAAGAAGGTTGAGAGGTTAGGGAGAACGTGGACAGACATGTAAAATACCTTTGTGTGCTGTCCATTATGGCAGAGTGACCTCTATGGGCATAAAGATAATGTCAGGAGTAGATGTTAATACAAACAATTTTAAAGTGATGAGTAGATGGTTTATGAGACCTCACACTGCTCACTGAGAGAACAGCTCAGTGTCTTGAGTGGCTCAGTGAATTTTTCTGTGAGTAATATGGGAAAGCTGATGTCATTGTGGGAAAGAGATCTGGTTCAGCACTTAAGTTCATGATTAAACTCCGATCTTAGGAATGCTACAGCCAGAAGATGAAAAGGTCTTGCTGCTCTGAAGTCCAGACAAAATCACTTGTATTCAGGTATGCGTGCATGGACTGTGACTGCAACGATTGTCCAGAAACATTAATTCAAGTTGATGCACTCTTGTTGTGTTAAAGTAAAGCTGCCCTTGGGAGTCTTGGCTCTTTGTACTGAGGCGCAATGGGATGGAAAGAAACCTGAAGATTCATGGGCAGTCCCACTCTGCTCCTCGTTCGTCTTCCTTCACCTGCAGCTAACTGTCACACTAGGGAGCTGGGATCATACCCTGTCTTCCACAGACCCTACGTCCTCCACAAACACCCTCTGCCTCCCCTCTCATCTCCCCCCTTTGTAGCCGACCAAATAAGCCCCTCTGATGGATGACAGGGGCTTCTTTGGCGCAGACTGGTGGGAACGCTTCTGGTTCTGGTTAGCAAGCTAAAGCTGTGCTTGAGAGACAGACTACAGCATTCTGGCTAAAGCTAAGCTAAAGCTAAGCCAGCCCTGAAGGCCCCAGCCTGAAGAGAACAGCCAGGGCTCGGGATATTTTTGGGGGCCCTGAAATCTCTGTTAGTCTAAAGATAACTGCCTTAAACACAAGTGATCCATCCTTAATCACCATCCTTCTTGGAAGAATATTCACAGTAAATCATCTGAATCTTTTCTGTGAATTAACCGTTTGTGTAGACAGGTTAATTCAAGACTAGACATTTATAACCAGCACCACAAAATTAGTGAGTGACATGCTGTCACGAGTGACTACCTCAAAAATGTTTATTTGGTGCTGTGAGATTGACACTCATTTTCTGGATCAGAATGATGATGGGCTGGAAGACAGACAGTGTAGAGCTACAAGCTGTGAACATCCCCCTTCAGAGCAGGAGCTCTTAATGTAGCTCTGTGCCGTCTCTGCCGCCACTCTAATTCAATTAGCCCATGTCAGTCACTGCTGAGATATCAAACCACCTCAGACTAATATTTGCAGAGGGGCTCTAATATCAATACGCAGGTAAAGGCAGTAGGCTCTCCCCTCCGCAATTATATAACCACATATGGCTGAAGCAGTGAATGACAATATTTACCACCCATCTCTCTGTGAGCACAGGCCGCCATGGTGGAACAGCCATCTCTATGAGAGAGGCCCTACGCACACACACGCATACGCACTCGTGCCACGCCAATCGCCAAATGTATTTTAACTGGCATATTTTAATATTAGCTTCAGAAAAATGACACTGGTATTTACAAAGTAAAAAGAGTCTAAATGGCCCATTTGAGCCAGAGTAAACACATTTAGCTATGAGGTCAGAGGCTGCCACACTAGAGGCAAGTTGGTTTGATAATTTTGTCAAAATGTTTAATGTCCTGCTAAACCGTTTGGGAAAAACAAGTGCGGCGCTGATATTGACTTTGGCAGCAGCCTGTATACTCAAGGCTTTAAACATGTAAATCAAATGCTCCATCTTCAGGCAAATGTGAGTAGACGTTTCATGCCCGGCTAGTTGCACTGTAGGCCCCTGCCACAAATCGCTTTCTGATTCCTCGCCCCGCCCCGTCCACACTGTGTGATGAACAGATATGCCACCACTGTGTGTGTGTGTGCGTGCGTGCGCATTTACGACTACTTTCAGGTGATGAAATCCATAAATTTGGAAACTGCTGCAATTTTAATGCAGCATTGTCATCATGTCACAAGAATGTAGGGCGGTTACGGTGGGGAAGTAAAGATATACATGAACACGGGAGATTGCTTCTATGGCATAATGGGCACTTAAGTGCAAAAAGGGAATTCTCACCGCACTCACACTCACACAGTGTTCAGATGTTCTTCATAAAGCACCCAATGGAATAGACCCACATCTCACATCCAATATGTCACCCTGCCTGTGTAGCTGCTGTTACAGCATCCCCTAGTCAGGTCCTTTTCACTTTCCATTCCTCTCCCCGTGCTGGTAATTGTGCGTGCCGCCGAGAAAGAGGCATTTAAACCGCAAGGTAATTTAGACAGGGTTCTCCTCCTGCTTACCAGGCTTGAAACAACACACCACCTTCCAGATGCTTCCAGGCCGACCTGACGTCTCGGAGCGGCGCTCGGACGTTTACATCCAGACGGTTTTGCTGCGCCGGCTCGCTGCACTGTTTGTGCTGGAAATCTGCTGTGCCTCACACCCCAATCACACGCAATCATGTGTGTTTCCTGGATTACTATATGTAAACTCCTCTCACTTACACACACTCCCACACACGGAGGCACACATGAGTACGGATGCATGCGTGGCTCTTAAGAGTAAGAAAGCCATCAAACCTCATTCTGTCATACACCTATGCTGTATATACTCCCATAAAAGTGCATATACACACGCAGACACCCAAAGAGCAGACCACAGAGTTAAAAGAAAGCGTGTTTATGTAACACGATCACTTTTGTAACACAGGGTTTATGATGCTTGATTCCATCCACTCTTTCTCAATGTTATTAAACTGTAAAAGACTGTTTTCCTTTTCTACCTCCCTGGTTTTCGGCACATTGTTTAGTACAGTACACACTGAGCCTCCTGACGACACTGGGGCTCTGCTGGCTCTCTAGGGAAATCATCTGCACTAATAGGAAACATGCTGTGCCTCGCTGTCTCTCTCTCTCACACACACATACACACACACGCACACGCACACACTAAGAACAGCACAGATACATGACATGTTTAATTTCTGCTTTCTGGAGTGTCCTTGAGCAAGATAGATATATTCCTCAAGACACTTCTATGAGCTGATGTTTCCATGGACTCCTGGATACTCTGTGGTATCCAATGCAATGAGGCAGCTTTCTGAAAATGTGTTTTAGTACAGTAATTAATGTATTCTCTTTACAGTCGGTTCTTTCTTCATGACATTTACAAGAAACTTAAAACAGGACTGAGGAGAAACTCTTTTTCTTCTTTGCCAAAGATGTAGCAATACTGGCACACTTGCTAAATAACACTTAAGTGTCTTAAGTTTTATTGCTGGTCCTTTAATAGTATCCCCAGCTGTACTTATTTTCACAATTATCTGGAAGATGTATCATCTTTTAAGATGGCATAATCTAATGCAGTTCATTGTTTGGTATCTGTTGTATGATCCCTCACCAAGTGTCTTATGCAATATATGAAGGTCTGTACCAGTAGATTTGTACAATATGAATTGGTTGGTAATGTTGTCAGAGATAATTTGTTAATTCTTGTCATTTGAGGATAACACAGCTCACAACATAAACAGCAAATGATGATCCTATCGCACTGCTTTGACAGTTTACTCTCATTAAAGCGTGAATCATGTCCGGCCAAGCGGTTTGGTCATCGCGCTGACGCTTTTGTATCCAGTGGAGATGGGGACCTTATGAACACTGATTCCAGTGCCAGAAATAGAGCTGGTGATGTGTCACGTTGACCCCGTGGTGACCGGCACAGCCCCTCTTCCCATGAGGGATGTCTCAGGGGTTGTGGAGTTGAGTTTGTTTCCAGCGAGAAAGCCAAATGGGTTTGTCAGCAGGACGGAGAGGCTTAACCTAACATGATCTAAGTGGGTTCGCACTGTGGGCCGGCCCTGATTCAGGATGATAAATAGGTGGAAAACAATGGAAACACAGTGGGTCAAAATCAGTGTGAGGCTCATAATACTATCAGCAGGTATAAAGTTCAAGTGTCTTGTGTGTGTGATTGTAGTTATCTGGATACTTGTAAATGTATTGTCATTTGGGCGGCTTGTTCTCAGTGAAGATGTTGCTCTTGTTCATCTTTACGCATTGAGTGCTTTTTGTAACTTCAGCTGGAAAGGTTTGACCTCACCAGACCGCGATGTCACATGGCTTTACCTCACACATACAACCCTTTGAGTTTAACCGCAGAGGCCAGTCAGAAGTAGTTTTAGTCATGTGACAACACTGTGACAAAGCCTTACATGACTGAGAAATTCCCACTCATTAATCAGGAAATGTAACCAGATTTAATATTTATATTTCCCACCCTTCTGACACATTCATAATTTTCCTTCCTCAACAGTGACCCTAAGTATGACACATCTCCACGGCTGAACACATCCATGTGACACATCCACGGAGGACTCACCCGTCTCTCGTGCTGTCCATGGCGGCCAGTGGGGACAGATGATGAGGGCTGCCGAGTTCCCGGTCCAGTCGGTGCTGTCGGGACGTCAGGTCAGTGGCGGAGGCAGAGGAGGGGTTAGGGGTAGGAGAGAGGAGCTCCACTGAGGCGCTGTGATGGGGGGTGCTGGAGCCAGTGTACAGGCCTGAAAGACAAACAAAGTTAATTCAGTAAACGTGCCAAATAAACTTGAGGGCCCTGCGCTCCACATTTCCTTTGAGCAAATTAAAAACCATTTCATGGCAACAGGATTTTGTTTTGACAACCTTCATCCAATCAGAGCTTTGTAAAATAAAATGTTCTGTGTTTTGCGCTGTTTGTAATTTAGGGTACATTGTTTCTGCTTCCACGGGGATTGGCCTTGTTTGTCCTTTCAGCTGTTTGTTCTTATTACACAATAATAATCTAAACTGTTACATGTGTTGAATAGTGGCTTTAAACATTTAAAGGGGGAATAAGGTTACTGGATGACCTCCCTTTTGCGTGTGTGTATGTTTGTGCATGCTGACGCTCATGTTTATGATATATGTGATGTATTTCTGCATGTGCACATCTGCATGAACACTGTACTGTATCAGTGTACTTTTCCTTTAAAACTTTTTACACATAAAAAAGAAGACAATAGAAGGCTATCATTGTCTGACTCTGTTCCAAAATGTCCAATATGTCTTTCACTATTCAATCACTGAGTATTTCTAAATCATATTTGATTAGCATTTTGTTGACACAGTGGTCTGGGGGGGGGGGTCATTATTTTCTACTAAAGCCAGCTGCATGTTGGCAACTTTTTCTACTGTTTCAAGCTTATCCATTTTTTTATTTACAATGTACTGCAAATAGGGCTGCAACTAATAATTATTATTATATATTAATGATTCTTTATTTTTTTGTGTTCCCTTGACATTCTGACAAGTTTCCACTTGTTCAATCTGAAAATGTTGCTCCAGAGAGTGAGACTTGTGACAATTCTTAGTAAAATCTAAATCTTCAGTCAAGAACTTGACATTGCTGACACCAAGTCTTGATAAGAGAGGTTACTCTTGGATCTTTACTTGTTCTCCCAACACAGTAAATCTACTCTCTCCATCGTCCGCTTCATTCATCGGCTGATGTCTTTCCCAGCGTCCATGAGGAGAGCTGTGCGCTGACTTTCTGGGACAGTTAACCAGTGACGAGAGGAGAAGACAAGGGGAGATGAAAGGAGGAGAAAAGATCGCTGCTCCTGGTTTTGCCGTTTCCAGGGCCAGCTGTTCTCAAGTGGAAGCATGCCGAGGCCTGATCTGACAGCACTCTGAAATGGTTACAAGCTTGATTCATTACCCCCAAATCATCAATCACAGACCTTAAATGTTTTCCCCTTTAGCCCCAACATCTGCTACCAGACCTGCAAAACAGTCGACAAATAATGGCCGTGATTGCCTCAGTTTCAATGCTGGTTCCTTGTGGAGGGAGAGAGAGAGTGGATGTGATGGCACTCTTGAAGAGTTAGCAGAGGATTATGTTCTGAAAATGTTGTGGATTGCTCTGAAAGGCTTCCGGTCGAGTTCAGAAAGAAAGCTCTGTGTGAGAGGGCGATGGAGAGGTACATAAGCCTCTCAGCATAACAGCAGGAGCATGTAAACCTCTGTACTAAAACTATGATGAGTCCTTCCTCTGGTTAATCAGAGAACACTTTAATTATGCTCTATAAAACAGAGAGTGGCTTCTCGTAAGTCTCACTGCAGCCATGTGAATAAGAGCAGACTTATAAGCCGTGAACAGGAAAACAAGTTAAGCTCTGACTGGAAGCATGACTCATTTTCTGCTCCACAAGTGTTAATGATGGGATGGCTGCCCACTTTGCCCCACCTCTTCCATGCATCCTATTGGCCCTGGAACAAAGTGAAACTCATGCAAAATGGGGTTCTTGCATGCCAACCTGCAACATCTTTGCTGGCCTCAAATAACACTGCATCCCTGAGCACTTTGGCATCGGCTCACGGGCGAGCTCCTCTGGGCTCTAAAACATTTAAAACAAGAGAGCAAGCAACATCCACTCAGAAACAGAGGGAGGTCAAGGTGGAAAAGCCGAGACTCAGAGGCCTGGTTCAACATTCAAAGACAAGTTGAACATTCAGTCATCAACGGGACGCTGGAGTTCCAGCAACAATAACAGAGAGCAACGGGGAGCCTGGATGGGGTACTGGCAGAAAACAAGGACAGATGTGTCCATAAACTAAGGAAGCTGCAGGGCATCTCTCTTGTCTTTAAGATTGTTATAATAATAATATATTTATCTCTCTCTTGTTCTCAATCTAAAGCAGTGTTGACGTTTGGTGACGGTCAAATTCATCAATTCTAAAATGGAAGTTTAATGGCTATATATGACGAATAAAAGTTTCTGTTTGTGGCTGTGTGTAATGTTTTTTGCAGCCTTGCATGACAAGATGACAGGTTAACATGATATGCTTATGAAATACAAACCAAAACAAACAACAGTGCCAGGTTGTAACATTTCCTTCTAAATTTAAAGGACCAAGTAGAGTCCAACAGCTAAAATGCTGATATAAAGTATGTTAAAGCAATTAAAGATAAATTATAGTGGTGTAATTTGTTTAAGTTTGACCAAAGGCACCAAAAGTATGATTTTTACTGCCTGAAAACACAAAATTACCATAATACATCTGCAGGAATGTTGACATGGCTGTTGATTACCACCAATGACTCTGTGATTGCTTTGCCAGGTGTTGGGATTTCTGGCGGTCAGACCTCATTTACTGGCCTGTTCTTCTGTTTTGGAACAAATACTCCCTGGCCGTCGATATCTTGAGATACGGCCAGTCTCTTGCGCTCGCATTTTGAATTGCTCAACCACAGAGAATAGTGCTACTACTGGTGTCACATGACATGTTGTATTCAAGAGGTATCGCTCATTTATTTGTGCTTTTGAGTACACAGTTGATTTATTCTAGCTTGTTTTGTGAAAACACAACATAGAAGGTGTCACATGAAACTTCAATGTATACTGTATGTTATATTTGTGGTTTAAAATATTAAAAATGTATATCAGGAACATGTAAATGTATTAAAATAGATAGGGTAAAATAGTACATAGTTCAAACCAGTATGACCAGGGGATTAAGCAATGGGCATTAAAGTAAATTATAGCTTGGAGTGCCTTGGAGAAAGGGGGGAGCTGGACAGTTTCCAGAATCTGAGAAAAATAATGCTTTGGGGACACATGAATTCTATAGATACCTGCAACTAAGGAGTATCAGGTAACAGATCCATTCATTATCTATACCCACTTATCCGTGCAGGGTTGCAGGGGTTGGAGCCAAACCCAGCTGACACTGGCTGAGAGGCGCCCGTCGATCAAACGAACAACCACTCACACATTCACACCTAAAGGCAATTTAGAGTCACCAATTAACCATCATTTCTGTCATTTGGATGGTGGGAGGAAGCCGGATCACCCGCAGAAACCCTCGCAGACTTGGTGAGAACATTCACACTCCATACAGAAAGGCCTGGGACAACCAAGGTGAGGCGACAGTGCTAACCACTGAAATCATTCTCCAGGAAAATCTGATCCGGTTCTTTACTGTAGCCAGGGTTTAAAGTAGGTGGTAACATCAGGTATGATGGAGAGTGCGATGTGAATCACTCACATGTTCTTTTTTTTTGGAAATGTCAGAAAATAACTACGTTTTGAGAAATGTTATATAAAGTGCTCGCACAAACACCCTTTGAGTTGTACGGTACTTCATCTGTGTAATTTCTAAGGACATGATAGATATTTGGTTCAAGTACGATTAATAGAATAAAAAATTAGGGGGAAATGGTGCCACCGACACAGGACCAATGGCTAGTGGTGACTTGGTGAAAGCATCTTCTTTAAAACTGACACAGATCTTGAGACTACATAAAACCCAACTAGAAGAGAAATTTGAAAATGAATGATAGTGTCTGTTTTTTTTACTTAATATTTAATGGTCTCTTGCCAATAAAGTGTGGGGGGGGGAGCATATGGAAGGTACAGTGAGAGAGAATGGAGACTTGCGTTGTTGTTACTGACAGAAGTATTTGATTACTTAATGCCTCCATAACAGGAAGAGGTCACATTATCAGGGTGTTAAATGACAGAGCGGCATCCTGTGTGCACCTGTGAAGATGTCTTGACCCAGTCCAGGAGAACGGCCGTCTTTGCTGTTGTAGAGGTGCTGTGTGGTGGTAGAGCTCTGGAGGTGCTGCATGGACAGGCAGTCACTCAGGATGTCCTGCTCCAGGTGAGGACAGGGCCGAAGCTGTCAATCACAAAGATAAGAATAAACAGAAAATGTTTCCAAGGAATGATGTTGAGTCATTTCAAAAGCAAGAACTGCATCTGGTTTGCACTATTACACAACATAAGAACAAAACACAGCATCAGTTGTGTCTATTGTAAGTTGGGCCCTATGTGGGGTGTGGGTTTTTTGCTTTCTCTTTTTGCAATACTTTGATTGTATTGTTAATTTGAAACAGTAACCCAGCAAATGAGAATATATTCTCAGTCAAGATGAGCCAGAGAAAAAGATCATATGCTCCTTTTTGAGTCATGCGTTGGCCTTGGACATAGCGGGTAAGTGATCACTGTACCAACTCAGAGCCAACGCGAGATTGCTTCTGTTTCTTTCACTGCCAACAGTAATGGGGGCAACTGAAGACACATTTCAGCTGGAGAGTCGATGACACGCCACGCAGAAGAAACCTGAACCTAAGGAAACTTGTATCAGTGGGACATCTGCCTTATGGATCAGTTGAACAGCTGACCTCTGTTGTATACATTAGTGAATTCCTCTGTGATAAAACATTACAGTTGCTGAGGTACACACCAGGAATGCACTAACAACCACATCTTTCCTTTACTCAGGAGATGTGTCTTCAAATAACCTGTAAATTCAACACAGGGACCAGGGGCCTCGTTTCAAAAGGCTACATACAAAAATGTTAACTAAACGGGGTTAAATGTGCGTATGGATACTTCACTGCAAACTTATTTATAGGATTTATAGAAACATTATATGCGTAAAAACGTGCACATTTCTATGCATCTTTCCTCCCATGCTTAAAACTCACGCAAAGTTTTTCAGACACGGGAATCAACGATGCCAGATGGGGAAAAAAACAAGATAAAATATCAAAACACACATCACCATATATCATAATGTATATGCCTACCTCTAATTGTGGATATATATTTATTATTATTATTACACCAAAGTACAAAGTACTGAAATTTGCTAAGTGTTTCAAAAATAACAAGTCTGTAAAGTAGAATATGTCCGCTGATACACCACTATAGTTTGATCATTTACAGTATGTGGATTATGTTTATAATCAAAACACATTTAAATGTGAAGGGAATCATTATAGGTATGATGATGCCCTGAACTTCATATCACAAGTTACTTATAGATCCACAGTATCATAACACTGTGTATACATCTCCATTTAGTTTTCATATAGTTTTTGTGTGTAAAATCGCAGGAGTGAACACGACTGTGCTGCACAGAGCGCACTGGAGACACCATGGGGGCGCACACACACACTCTGCCTTCTCACTTCGACTCACTGGGCACATCTGCACCCCCTGCACAGATGGATTGTGTAAATTAGCAAAGGCTGGAAATAAAGCTAGTGACAGCTCTCGCACAATCGCTACCCTCCATATACGCATTATGAGGCCTAATCATAATGCAGGCCAAGCATTACAAAACCAACTTAAATAACGTGTTCACCTGTCATACTTCCATCTTCCATCTTAAAATGTTATGCCAGGGTGGTGGACCACCATTTTGGCAAGATGTAAAGTAATCAGTATGATAGCTGTAAGCATAAATACTGCGTGATATTCATGCGTAATGCTGCATGATGGATGGGCTGGCATTGAGGAGGACAATGGAAAGATTAGGAGGGAACGAGTGTTCAGGGACCTCTAAGATTGCCTGGCCCACGATGATGACTGGCTAATATACCGATTTAGATTCCCTAGAGCCATGCTCTTGGATCTACATGCGTCTAGCATTAGACAAACCAACCCAACTGAATTGCGCCATCCTGGTGCAAATACAAGTAGGCTATAGACACTCTGGGGTTTCTGACAACCGACTGTTACCAGGGGGAATTAACCGACAGTTGTGTGTTTGATATGATCAACAATATATAATGTTTACCTTTCTGCCAAAAGTCCCTTCTGGGAATAATATAATTCTATTAAACTAGCTGCATTTTCTTTTGTTTGTGACCGTGCTGCTGTGTTTTCTGACTTCCACCTCAAAAGCTCCTCGATTTCCCATCTCAGAAAAACTGTTTATCTTCCTCTCAGTTGTTGTTGCCGTAATTCACGGTAATCGAGCTCATTTATATGCATCAATATTCATGACTTGCTTTGCATCGACCATTTATGGTTGAATATGGGCGTGTAGAGGGCTGGATATGAGGCTGATCCACATCCTAATCTCTAAATAAGAACTAATTTGCGCAGTGTTATCCCTTTTAATTAGTTAATTTTAATCAAGTTATTTATTTTTATGCTTCATTCATAAAACACATGCATCCCATTTTTAATCAGTGAAGCGTAATTTTCATTTAGTAAACACTTACATGCTATAACCAGGCTAAATTAGTGTATGTGCGTTCAGCTCATCAGGAAATCAACATGTAATCTAATTGTGAATCCAGTTTGTAATTTTTGTCATCATGCTGTGATACTGACATTCTTTTTTCAGCATAATAGTAAGAAGTGATAACTTTATGATGCCAAGAGGCATAAAAACCTGGCGGTGTTGCTGTGAGTCATTTGGACCAGAACAAAGTCTATCTTTAAAGTGTTACAGTTACAGATGACAAAGTCGATGTTGTTCACTACAGCTTTTTCTCCAACTTCATTCCAACTCCATCAATCTGCCCATCGTTCTGCCCGTGTCAGCATGTCAATTCATCCATCCACAATCCACCCTTATTTATTCTCTGAAAATCAATTCCACATTTTGATTTTGTGGTTGGACTGTGGGTGGAAACATACTTCAGCATTATCACAACAATCTACTCTACCCTCTGATTGTTCCCACAGACAGCAAATGGGCAGATAACAACTTTATCTGCGTGTGACTTACGACTTAAGACCTTCTGCCTATCAGGCCAGTGAAATCGACGATAGCTGAACTTTTCATTGCGGTTTTTCTCAACAGTTTTATAGCTGGCATCATCCATGTTATGATTTCACACTGTATGTCAGTAAATATGTATTTTCATGTACTCCTGGGGATCCTCATGAGAGCCATGCAAAACATTCATCACATGTAATTGGGGCTCTGTTTTCCCCGCCGCGACACTCCTAACAGTTTTTCTCCAGGCCCGCTCCAAGACTGGAGTAAGAGCGTTTGTTTGACATTTGTCCATAACATCTGGCCACTGGGGTATTCCCGCAGTACAGCTTATTAACAATGCTACAAGCACACATGTGTTTCCCTTTACAACGCTAAGCAAAGGAACACATCATCCAGCCTGCCACTATCCAGCCCCTTCCACAACAATGAGCCCATTCTCTGTTATTTACCCGCTTCCAGTCAGGGAAAGAATGGGCTTTTGACCATGAACATGATGAAATGTGGTCAAACCTGATCTATTGTAGGGGAAACGATTCTCAAAGAAACTCCACCACCCCACCCAACCAACCCCTCAATTAAACCAACTAGATGGATTTGTGGATAATGCATGGTAGATCTGAACAGGAGAGATTACATAAAGTGCTCTGTTTGTAAAATCTGTAGCCCTGCGCATTAACTTGAATAAAGTCATGCTGGAGGCTGACTAAGAAAAAGGTCCACAGTAGCCCTTGGGAAGGGCACAGCAATGTAGTCTACATAACATGCAGGTAAATCCACCTGTACTGTGTGGATGTATGCTCACTAGCACTTGTTATGACTACCGCAAAATAAAAGAATAATATTCCTTTATAGTGTCAAATTAATATACTGTCAACCTTTTAGACATAGAGACATAAAAAAAGGAAATGCAAATGTTAAGTGACAAAAGTCTAAAACATTACAAGACCACAGGGGTGCACTCCTTAAGTTTCTGTTTCTTTTTAAATCTTGATATCTATCTGTTCCATCCCTCTTTTAATGTCTTACCTTTCTACGCACCTGTTGCTCTTTGGCCGAGTGGATCTTGACATGTTTGCGTAGGGAGCTGGGGTCTGTGTAGCGCTTGGTACAGCCGGGGATCTGACATGCATATGGTTTCTAAAAGCACAGAGCAAATGTTCCACATCAGTTAAGTGTGTAAAATACATTTGTTAAATTCACTTTATTGTTAAGGACAGAGACACAAGGCGTTGAGGGTGTGAGTAAGCAAAGTGAACACATGTAAAGTTTTGAAATCTCTTGAAGTAAAGGGAAAAGTTAAAGTCCTACCTTTCAGCTGAGAATAACAGAATTTCAAGTAAGAAGAAGAGGAAAAAGAGCATGAAAAAGAAAAAAAGAAAAGATCCATTATACAGTATTTCAAAACCAAATGACTTCCCTGTAGAATTTATAAAAAAATTTATTGAGGACGTTAAAGCTGGTTTATGTTCTGTTTAAATTGCTGTCTCTCCTCCTTTTCTCTTCCCATTGTAGTAAGGAACCCCCTCTCTTGGTACTGACAAAATCATTACTACATGATTACTATAAATACTTTACGATGTATCTAAAACACTCTACATTGGATATTGTGGCCTAATAAAGGGCTATATTTAACCCAACCAGTCTGGTAGTACAGATCAGTCTGTATGTCAGTGTGTACGCTGACATACAGACTAGTTGTATTGAGGGAGATGTAGGAAGATTAGAGTAACCTACATGACATCTGTAAAATGACTGGTCATGGAGTTTCCTCATCATTTCACATCCTTCTCATTAACCAAGCAAATATAGAATGCAGCTAGCTGATTGAGGGATTTTTCCCCCCTTCACTGCAATTTTTCTTTCATCCTCAGGAATATAAGTTGGCCATTAAAGTGTAAGGGGATACGCGTCTTTATTAGCTCTGCCTCCATACCGCAACCTTCTCTGTAAATAAGCCATTGTTATTCCAAGGCGCTTACAGTGCCACTCATCTCTGCCATGTTTGTTTTGCCAAGCAACGCACCCAATACAGCGCAGAACCTTGAGTAGAAAAATATTTTAAAAAATCAAGTACAACTTCTGAGCAGAATAAATATCATTAAAGCTTGAAAATGATTTCCCCCCAAAGTGTTTCTGGCAGGGCAGGCAGCTGGGCAGGCACAGTGAATGCCTTAGCGGGGTGTTAATGTGAAGCCATAAGCATCGGGGTCCCAGATTAGCTGTATCATTTGTCCTACTGTGGAAAGAGTGGGAGGTGGAAGAAAATACTTAACTTGTAGAATAACACAAGTCCGTATTCAGAACTCTACTTAAGTATAAGTTCTGAATGATTTACTATTACATGTAGCAAAAGCATTGGCCAATAGAGTAACATGGGAGGAAAATATTCTGGAAATATAAATAATATGAAACCAGAGTTAAAATGTAGATCTCTTTCAATTAAAGTTTTGCATAAAGTGCTGAATCTGTGCGTTTACTGCTTCAAAAAAGGCTCACCCTGTGCCACTACAGCTCTCCTTCTACCTGCTCAGCATCACTGTTTTATTAACTCTCTGGCTTTTTTCAGTACTTTCTCATACAGCCTGGTTCCAACTCTCTGACCTGAGGTAACATAAAGGGGGGAAAGAAAGAGTTCAAAGAAAAGAAAACACTGCTGCCACATGACTTTAGAAAATAGTTTGTGAGGAACAATTTTAGTTCCATACTGTTAAAATTCTCATAAATTATTTTAATTGAGTTTAAGAGTTGTTTGAAGGGTTTTGTTGTGTCACAGAAATGTACATAATGAAAATGGCTCTGTGGAAGCAGAGCATTTAACATTAACTTCATTTTTGGATTTATATACTGTATAAACAGTCTTAACTGACTAAATTCAGATTAGAAAAACTACTTCAAAGACCAATCAAAAATAATGGGTTTTATGGGTGATTATTTAAAACTATGTAGTAAAAACCTCAAACGTATAGATTTTAACAAGAGGTGTTTAGACTGAAATAGTTGATAAGGGCAGAAAATACTTGAAGAGGGGAAAACTGTACAGTATAATAAAGAACAAATACGTCAACTGTCTTTAAGTACATAATTTGAGCAAAACAACTTATTTACTCCCCAGCTGTGTTGGCATGCGGATGGTGATAAAGTGAGGTATTGGTGAGGTTCCTGAGACATGACGAGTGGCAGCGATGGCTGACTCAACCTTTCCTTCCCTTTCCACAGGTCGCACAAACAGGCAAAGCTCTGTCTGAGCTCACAGCTCCAATCCAAGCCTGAGCCGCGACTGGGCCTAATGGAACTGATCATTTAATGATCTGTGGCGTGTCACTGCCAGCATACAGAAAGTAAGAATGCCACACCGCTTACTGACTGACAGCAAATTAAAATCTAACACTGTCAAGATGTGGAAATAGGCACTGGGACTTGGACGGCAGTGCAGTTTTTAATGTGGGTGTAAAAGTGATGGCGGGATACAGTATGAGCACACACCAGACACACACACACCCTCACATACACTGAGTGGACCTTAATTGCTAGTTATTTAATAACTAATATTTTAATTTTGCATAAAATCTAATCCCTGAATGGATCTGGTGGAAACTAAATGCAGCTTATATTTACAGTCCATAATTTCATGCAGCCATCCTTTCTGCAACACAGGGACCACCCAGCCTTTAACTGTTGGCCTGAGACAGGTTAAACATGAATCTACTCTGGAGAAATGGAGAGGTGAGACAGAGCAGCGACTTAGTTTCTAACCGTGTCCAGGTGAGTGCGCTGATGCTTGGCGCGGTCGCTGGAGTTGCTGAATGCTTTCTGGCAGCCGGGGTGCTGGCACAGGTATGGCTTCTCTCCTGTGTGGCTCCTCAGGTGGATCTTCAGGTTCTCCAGACGCGAAAACGCTTTGTTACAGCCCTCGAACTGTGGAGGAGGGAAGACAGCACACACACACACACACACACACACACACACACACACACAGGAATGCATGCACAGAGACAACCACACATAGGCAGGTACACACACAGGACCACACAAGGAAATAAACAAACGGCCACATGAAGGCACACACACACACACACACACACACACACATATACATGGAGAGGCAGACACACACACAGAAAAAAGAAATCAATCAGTGTAAAGTTGGCAAATTCTGGTACAATGTGGGCTCTGTATACGTGTGCATCTGTGACTCAGAAAGAAGCTGTCCCACTCTTTCCCCCAGTCCCTTGATCAGTCACACAGCTGGAGGAGTTCACTCTATACCACATATTCACCAGCTACGGAAAAGTGAGCGACGTTTAAGAGCATGGGTGGTATAATCGCGAGCACTTTTTTTCCATGGCTCTTGAATTACGCGGCCAATCCGAGGACCTTTGTTGAAAACCCTGTCCACTTGAAAGACAGCGGCATGCGTGACAGTACACCTGCCTCAAGGCTGTAGCTGCATCTAAATTGCAGGGGAAACTGGAGTGTGCCGTACAGCGGCGGTTAATGGGCTGTAATGCATCGCATGAGATAAGTGTTCTGCTGTGTATAGTGCACTAGACTGACAAGTGACAGTGACAGTAAACAAGCTCATATCCGACCCAGCTTGGCCCATTTGATCCAAACCACTCAGCCAATGAACACCACAGATTTGTTAACACGTGAATGATTCATGAGGGTTCTCGCATATCCACTCCTGCTCTTAAGCAGAAAACACAGCTGATTGGTTTATGAGGCTGTCCATGTTGAGACCCCCTACAGGACCTGCTGTGTAAAGAGTCACAAAGAGTATGGGTGTGCAGTAATATGGGAAGCAGTGTTATTTAATTCTACATAAAGTTAATCTCATTTAGGTATTCAGCAGCACCTTGACATCAATACACTGAGACTTAACTGTCACACGGTACAATAGGAGTAGATGAGGAGCTCATGTTGGCATCCTTCTTCTGTACAGTCATTTGTCTGTATGAGGACTTTAGATGCAGGGTTTGCATGGCTGATACATAAACAGAGGGGGGCATAAGAGCGACAAAAGGTGAAGATGGAAAAGCAGGTCGCTCCAGGAACAGTAGTAGGTGCCATGTCTGACCACAAAGATTAGACAAATTAGACAGATGACGGATTAAGAATGATGGCAATGTCTGAAACACAATTTTCAGACACATCATCCCGTTGTTCTTTGTGCTTGCTGTGGTGTAATTCTGATGTTTGAGTTTGATGTAATGACTGAACAAAGATCTGCTTGAAGTTTAATGATAATTTAATGATTTCAATTTGGATTTCCTTTTTTAAATATGTCAGAAGCTGACACAAAGCCTAACTTTGGGCGGCTGTGGCTCAGGTGGTAGAGCGGGTTCGATTCCTGACACTAGTCCTTGTCCTTGGCCAAGATTCTGAACCCCAAAATGCGGTGTGCTTAGTAATATCATTGTGAGCACTTTGGAGAGGAAGCACTGTATCACTTCTGATGAGTGACACCTTGCATGTCTGTGTATGAATGAATGGGTGAATGTGAAGTGTTGCAAGGAGATTTGAGTAGTCAGGAGACCAGAAAAGTGCTGTATAAATATGTAAATGAATAAATAATTCCATTACCATTTAACATTGTTTTTAACATTAACAAACATCAAGAAACATTGAAAAAACCCTCAACATTTTTTTACACCTGGAGCTATCTTATTCAGTCTCTGGTTCTTCCTAAAATGTTCTTGGAAAGTTCTTGTGGTGGAAACACCTTACATGAGTATCATTTGAAAATCTTTGACTTTGGCGCCCCTAGGTTGTAGTATCAAAAAAGACACATAGAAACATGCTATGATCACAGAAAAATCATAAAAATAATACACAGTATTTAATATATTTTTAATATTCTTTTATAAATTTAAAAAGGAGTCTTTATTCATCCTATGTCAAGTACCTAAATATGAGGCGCAAACCTGTGAGAAACAGAGCCAGGGAGGCATTCGGTCTGCTAAAAACATAGTGCAACTACTCTTGCTTTAAACTAAAGTAAATCTCACCATAAACCAATTTCTTGGTTAAGGGCTAAGCTGACCTCAGTGCAAATACAACTGCATGGACGAACTACTGCGAAGGCCCTGCGGTCTCTACTGTCCATTGTACGCTGACCTTTAGTGAAGCCTGCTGACAACAGGTCGGGTTACAGCTAAGGAGACACCATTCTTCTAATGGCCCTTCAGCTTCATCTAGGCTCAGTACTCATCCCTGGTCTCCTTCATTCACTCACACAGCACAGGCAGGGCCTTTTATTCACTGAGGCTCCATTTAATATAGGCGAAACCTAAGCCAGTCATGGTAGAGCCGTGTTGGGTGACCAGTGGCTGATTTGTGGGTGTATGTGCCTTTGTGGCTCAGTAAGAGAGTCTTAATCTGACCGATTATGGCTCCACAACGCACAGCTCCTCATGAAGTTTGTAAGACCTTTGAGCCAATGAGTGTGGAAACAAAAGCATCCTTTCAACGTGATTAGACACTTGTTGTCTTTTTTTGATTAGACAATAAGCTGCAAAGTAACAATTTAAACTGAGCTTCTGAGGTCGGTTTTTCTGAAAACAACACTGGGCAAGCACCAAAACATGTAGATCTGGGTACCTGAGAAACATCAGTAAATCAGTAAAAGCATCAGCATTTAAGCCATCTAAGAAAGCCTAAATTAATTAGTCTAAAATTAGAAGTATCTAAATTAAAAAATACCTTATGAAAAAAAAACTAGACTAAGAATATAACTGAGCATTTCAATTGCTCAGTTAATGCCCATCAAATCAGCTATATTTGGACCTGTGTACTCCGTGGTGTGGCTAAAGCTGAGACATAATCAGGAGAATGGATGACAACATGAATGACTACTTGACGAGAGCAACACAAAAGTCACAATGAGGCAGTGGACTGGAATGTCGTATAAATAAAAAAATTATCAACACACACACACACACACGCACATGCACACATGTCCAGGCTTCAGCATTACAACCATGGAAAATTTCTTTAAGAGTTCACATCGCACAGTGTTGTAATACGGAAACATATTTTTCTAAAGTCATGCCAATCAAATGTTTCGGATGGAAACGAGAGACGCGGCCAGGGTGGGAAAGTTTAATAAAAATCTCAGCGCAGAGGCACATCCACACTGCCACACCAGTCATGACAGACACGGTCCATGCTGACTGCTGAAACATGGCGCCAAGCGTTTGAGTTTGGAAAACAAACATGCCTATTATTGACGTGCCAAATGTGTGTATTTATGTATAAGGGAATAATCACTCTTTCATTGCTTTCTTTTCCGCAATACAAATTTGAGGCTAAATTATAGTTACGGCTCCGTGGAGGAAACCGTGTTAATCGTGTAGAGCGTATTATTACTCTGGGAGCTGGACTAGCAGGGAGACGGTATGTATGAGGTTTTCCTGCCTGCTGGGAAACCAATAGGCACTGCCACCTCTAGGCATGGACATTACCCAGAACCCTGCATGAAAAATTTTATGCTACAGTAAGATGCTTTAACATGGCCAATCTGGTGGTTAAAATGACTTCTTTCAGAGAGTTCATGGATTGTTAAAAACTACTTAGGTTTGGATATTTGGGGCAGGCAGAGACATTTAACTCCAGGATTGTGCCTGTTATTGATACACGTGAGAGTGTTCCCACTATATTGACCTAAAACATAATGATGATATAAAAGCCTCTCACAATAATATATGCATGTTAAAAAATCAGTAGGTTCCCTGTGTCGTCCATGAGGAGTTGCCTAAAATATAAACTGTTTAGAGAGTAATGAACACACAGGTTAAAGTGGTATAAACAGAGAGTTGTGGTGGCTGAGGTCTCTGACACAGGATTGATTTTACCTTTGATATTATCTGTGAAAACAGTTTAGACAGCCCTAATCACATTAATTGCTTTAAACATGTTTAGTTTTCCTCTCTGAAACCTCCGTCTAAGGTAAACCGTCAGATCACCACACGAGGGGAGTGGCACTGGCAGCGTGGAGGGATTTGAGCTCCGTTTGACAGCATTTCTCTCTTGAGGGGGGGGGGGGGGCAGTAGCTCAGTAAACATTCAGGATGACAGCAGGGTCTTGACATGGCTGAAGGGGGCGAGAGCGGGTTGAAAGGGTGGACGGGCAGCTGATCACAACAGACAGATTATGGGCCCAGCATGCAGGCGAGTGGAGGTGCGGCATGGCTGAGACCTTCATGGGAAATGACTCCTGACTGGCAGTGAAAAGGCCAAACAGTTGTCGGAGCTAAAAGGCAGCAGTGTGCGGCCCTCCTAACATTCGGCGGCTCATTAGCAACCTGCAGTAGCGCCGCATGGTGGAAACAAACCAGCCGTTATGGAGGAGTGTGGGGAGGAAATATGGCTGGTGACATGTAGGACAGAAATCTGATTAAAAGATTTAATGACTGACACAAGAAGAGAAATGCGGAGAGATGAGAGAATCAGAGGTAAGGCTGAGGTGAGGTTCCTCTCTTTGGAAAAACAATATCGGACTCCAGTCCTTGCACCCAAGGTCATCACCATCACCTACAGGAGTCATTTCTTTCCCAGAGAATAAACTACAGGATTTTCTCTCCCGACGATCAAGCTTTCCTGCGGTTGCTTCAGATGCGATGGAATCTCCTTCAGCACCAATATATCTCTCTGGCCCTGGGCAGTAATTGTAGATGAGGCCTCTGACTAATGATGGGGTGATGGGATTCAACTGTTCTCCTGCTCACTAGCATGAAATTCACCATTACTCATGTTCAGCGGGCCCCCCATAAAAGAAAAAGGTCCTCAGAGCCTGAAAGCCTCCACCGGTTCACCGCTGTGATCATTTTTACCTAATACATCCAGGCTCCTTTACAGCCAAGACTGACAGACACGATAAAGGGCAAAGAGTTTTGGTGGCACAAACACTGCCAAAT